AAGCAGAGATGGCCAACTGCTCCAGCGTTGCACTGCCAGCGATCAGCTCGGGCATCTTTGGTTTCCCTGTTGACCTCTGTGCTGAGACCATAGCCCAGGCAGTTCGGGAGCACTGTGACAGCCCACAAGGTCTGAGATCATTAACTGAGATTCACCTGGTGGACAACAATGATAGCACCGTCAGAGTCATGGCTACAGCTGTGAGCAAGGAGTTCTCAGACCTCGGACCTATCATGACCATCCCACAGCAAGCAGGCGGGAAACGAACAGGAGCTTCAGGGTAATTTTTTTTAACCTTTTTTAATAATGAACTTTTACTGTAAACATCTTAACATTGATACTCATCAAGCTCATGATCACAGGTAACAATATCCAGCTCCATGTAACGTCCTTATTTGGATTTTGTCTGTTGTATAACTGTATAAGCACTTCTGTATACCTGACAGCATGGAGGTAATCTATATCCACAATCCCCCAAAATAAAACTATTTCTTTAAATCTTTTCAGTAAACCTTGTTGATGCTGAGCTAGTTGAGAAAGATTATATCAATTTATTGGTCAGATTTATGGTTTATGGCTTCCTAAGCCACAAAGATGGCTGAGCAGCTATTATTAACTTTAAATGGCTGCTTAAGTATTCAGTCAAATTGGAGTCATTTGGAAAGTATTTAAAATTGTCATTACTTCCTAGTGGACATAAGCGGGGTCGAGGCAGAGGCAGAGGTCAGAACCAATCACATGATGCCAGCTGGTGTAATGAAAAACGAGAAGAAGGAAGAGGCGGTGGAAGAGGAGGTGGAAGGGGAGGAAATCATCACGGTAACAGGGGAGGCCTGAGCCCCAAGCAACAAATCAGCCATAGAGAGCATGGAGGGTAAGGTGGTTCCCCTTCTATTTCTTTGGTTTTATCACACTCTTGATGACCTCATGTTCATGAGGCCTCTTTGATATCATCTGTCCTGTTATCTGATTGGATGCAGGTTGGAGCAGACCACAGCTGAGGGGCTGAAGATCATTTTATGTAAGGGAAGCATTCAGGACCAGACTGTGAGTACCTGTGCTGTCATTTGGATCATAGTTTAGAGGATTCTGTAAATGTTCATGTAATTACAACATGAAGGGATAGATTTGGCTTTAAAACAGGATTAAAAGTAAATTCTGGTTTATGCAGTTGTTTTTTTTCAATCTGTCGCTGTCTTTTCATGTTTTTGTGGAGTTTCTGTTCTGCTGAACACCACAACAGTGTTCACCACAGGGCCAAATGAGCTTACTACATAAATTCATTGAATGCTGAGTTTACAAAGGAATGCTCATCAAAGACTTTTGTGCATTAGTGCATTGGTAAATACAGCACATTCAACTGATTCCAATTTGAAAGCTGCTTTATGTTTTTAATTGACTCGTGTGAAGGTGTCACATGTTTCAAACACGACTCAAACTTTGCTCATTTAACTATAATTTGATTAGCATGTCAAAATGCCTGGATACATTTCCTGGTCTTTCTATATCAGGCAGAAATAACATATTAATTAAGAACAAAGCTACACACCTTTATCAGCAGGAACAACGAGGGCACAAACAAATCTGATCACATAATTAAGAATTTATACTGCAATATTTTTATGGAAGACTGTACAGTTTGTGTATTTTATATACTGCAGTTTGCAGACATTTAGTGTCTCGGCCTTTTTAATGCAAAAATAATGAGATATTTTTGATTTTTTACTTAAAACTGACTTTCATTTACCGAGCTTTTTGTGATTTTACTTTTGTTCCACAGACTGACGTCATCGTCAACACCATCTCAGAGGACATGACACTGAACCAGGGAGCTGTGTCCAAAGCCATCCTGTCAGCAGCTGGAAGCAGTCTGCAGGACGCCATCTACTCTGAAGTCAGAAGGAACACGCTGCGATACGGTGATGTTGTCGTCACTGACGGCTACAACCTCACGTGCCAGAAAGTCTTTCATGCTGTTTGTCCTTTCTGGGACAAAGGAGGCGGCCAGGCAGAGGAGGTGAGGCTTAATAAAGGTTGGACACTGTAAACATGAAGGACCCAGGATACACAGTTTAGTTTTCCAGCTGCTGGTCGCACACACACCAGCTCTGGGTCCTGATGCCACTGAAATAAGGAGAGCGTGAATAGTCTATTAGGCTCAGCTGCCCTGTCAGCCTGCTGGGCACTGCCCCCTGAGCCCACTGCACCACCCTACCCTCTCCCAGCCTATCACCCCTTTGGACCACCATGAACTTAAATGACTGTGGACAAATACACTGGGTTATCTGGGCGTTGGCATCTTTCATGCGGTGGAGCCATTGCAGCTGGGCGTGGTCTGAGCAGAGGGTGAATAAGTGTCCCAGGATGCAATAACAAAGAGAGCTGACTGCCCACTGGATTGCCAGACACTCTTTCTCCACCATGCTGTACCTGGCCTCCCTCTCCGACAGCCTCCGACTGATGTAGACTACAGGGCAGTCAACCCGCCTTACCTGCTGTGACAAAACTGCCCCCAGCCCTCTGTTTGAGACATCCATCTACAGAACGAAAGGGAAGTAGAAGTTACATGTGTGAGACAGGGGCTCCCACAAAGAACCTTTTTAAACCACACAAAAGCCGCCTTGATCTGCTCCATCCACTGGACCAGATCTGGGGCACCATTTTGGTCAAGGGGCTGGTCAGGTTTGCAAAGTTTGGAACAAGCTGGTCTTAATAACCAGCCAGTTCCAAGAACCACCATCTAAGGGGCGCATCTGTCCACCTCCCAAGTGGTACCCGTTATACTCTACCTCTCTCCCTCAAACCACACACTTCTTTGGGTTGGCCATGAGCCCCACCTGGCTCAGGGACTCCAGGACTGTGGCCACCCCCTGCACATGCTCTGCCCAGGTGTCACTCTGAATGATAGCATCATCCAAATAGGCAGCAGGCATAAGGAGCACCTGGTCCATGAGGTGTGAGGCCAGGGCTCCGAACAAGCCGAACAGAAGTGTAACCAAATGGTGGAATTTTGCACCTCCAACTCATCTCTCTTCTTCACCAGGCTCACCAGAGAAGCATCTCTCCATGCTTTGAGGAGGTTGAGGTGATATACAAGTGTGGTTCCTCCCCTGTCTGACCATACCACCTCATAGTCTATGTCCCCCACCTACCGTGTGACCACAAAGGGTCCTTGCCAGTTGGCAAGTAATTTTGAGCTAGAAGACGGGAGTAATACAAGCACTTTATGTCCAGGGAAAATGAGTCTAGCCCCTCTGTTGTGCAGGTGCTGTTGACGTTGCTGGACCTGGGACAAATTTTGCTGTGATAACCTTCCCAATGTGTGCAGTTTTGCTCTCAGGTCCAGAACATATTGAATTTCAATTATAGCTGGGCGCCGACCTTCCTTCCAGTTTCCTTTAATCAGGTCCAACACCCCCACAGCTTTATGCCAAACAGTAACTCAAAGGGAGACGATCCTGTGGGGGTCTCAGGATTGTCTGTTGTTTGCAGTGCACCTCACGCCCTGCAAACAACAGAAGGTCCAACCAGCAATCCCAATTGCATTCATCCTCGTGAATGAACGTATGAATCATGGACTTTAAGTCTTATTCAGCTGCAACAGCCCACCAGTCTGAAGGCGACAGATGCCATCCAAACAGACTTAATGCCCAATAATTTCTAAAGCTCTTTGAGTGTGTGAGACATGAATGACGTGTCCTGGTCAGTCAGTATCTCTTTCGAATTTTGTCTGAGATGCTTGTGAGATGACCAGAAACACCACGTTCTGTGCAGAACTGGTGCACAGCGGCACAGCTTTGGGATATCACGCTGCATAATCTACCAGAATTATTACAAAGCAATATCTGCATGCACATGAAATGGCCCGATGAAGTCCATGCCAATGCACTCAAACAGGACCTCCATTAATGGTCTCGGGCGCAAAGGTGCTTTTGGAATTGCTGGCTACTTAACACAGTGGCTGCTCCTCCGAGAGGAGGGGGGTTCAGGGCAAGTTCAGGGCAGCCGTCTGAGCTTCCCCTGGAACATTTTCAGGAATGCCTGGGAGTCATTGCCTGGCTCCATCCGGTGCAGCTTTATCCTGCAGCTTCTCCAGCCGGACGTGATGCATCGCCACCTGCTTCTTGTGCATCACAGCAAGCTAAACCATCATCTGGCCAGTTGTGTGGGTTGTGGGTCTGACATGCCCAACTAGGTTTTGTACCAGTGCAAACGTGAAAGAACCAGGACACGCAGTTTTGGGCAGTGAAACGTGTTCATTTGTGACTCATTGCAGGTTCTCCCGCTGGTCACACAGCAACTCCAGATGCTGTTGTCACTGAACTAAGGAGCATGATTAGTCTGTTAGGCTCAGCTGCCCCGTCAGCCTACCGAGTACTGCCCCTGAGCCCACTGCACCACCCCACCTCTGCAGAGGAATTGCAGACCACACCCCAGCACAAACACTTAAAGTGTGTCCCACAGACATCTGCATTTCTTCTGCAGAAAGCCGTTTCTATTCTCTTTTCTTTTCTTAAACTCTGTTATTCTTATAAGCCCCAGCATGTGTGAGATACTAACTAACTTCTGATACTAACATAGCACTTCTCTACTGTAACGCGGTTACTCTACCTGAGAACTCCAGATTCTTTCTACAAGCCTCGCACATTCATCCGATCACTGTTTTCTATCCCCAAAAGCTTTTTTAACCATCATTCATGCACTCGTCCACTGAGGGATGCATCAGGAGAAACTCTGCGCCCCTCACCACCACTGAAAACTCCACTTTTGTTCCTGGTCGTTCACATACCATACTGTGTATCTTGCCCAGTCACTGAAGTCCAGCTTCACTTTGTCTTATCTCTGTTTGTCAGGAGTTAACGTCCATCATCAGATACTGTCTGGTGGAGGCTGAGAAACGTCAGATGGCATCGTTGTCCTTCCCAGCCATCGGGACAGGAAACCTGAGCTTCCCCAGAGCCCTGGTGTCCAAACTCCTGCTGAGGGAGATCCGCTCGTACAGCAGCAGCAGAAACCCTCGCTGTTTGAGAGAGGTGGTCATCGTCGTTCACCCCAGTGACAGCCAAACCGTGGATGTGAGTTTGTGACTCTGATAGGAGCTGAGAGTGTTTAAGTGCTTATCACGTTCTGACAGTGAGCACTAGAGATGAGCAAACCCACAACAAACACATGGACACATAATGTGCAGGCAGACACTGATCAGTCACACCGTCACCTAGCTTAGCACACAAACTGGTGAAGCTGCTTGTGGCTACAGGTAGCAAAAACCACACTGAGTGGTGATACACACTGTTAGTACAGTGGTCCCTCGCTATAACGCGCTTCACCTTAAGCCGCCCGTGGATTTCTTTTGTGGGCAATTTTGCATGTTTCCTGTTTTTTGTGTTTTTTTACAGCGCATTGTGTTCTGCATCCTCATCGGCTGTAGACCATTGTCGGTGTCTCCTGTGCAGTACAGAATGTGTTCGGCTTGTCAAATTTACAGCAGTGTGACTCTGAAGTGCTGTACTCTCAGTGTTGGGAAGGTTACTTTTAAAATGTATTCCACTGCAGATTACAGAATACATGCCGAACAATGTATTTTGTAACGTATTGTGTTACGTTACTCAGTGAGAGTAACGTATTCTGAATACCTTGGATTACTTAATATGGTATCACAACTACATGAATGTCCTATTGCTGTGTGATTTATTACTATTACTGAAGGTTACTCTCCACACCAACACCAGCTAGATGTTTAAATCTTAATATAAATGAGTAACAGTAGGTGCACATTAGGTAAGGCTGCACTTTTTGCAGCGATCTCGTATAGAAACTATTCCCGCGGCTCCGAACCGTAGTAAAGGACCTCTGGCTGATACGTCGGGTTCGTGTCGGCTCGTAGCTGAAAACTAGCTTTGCTTTGTTGTCTGGGTCGACTTTGTTAGCGAGAGACAGAGAGAGGCGTTGAAAGGCTCCAACGGAGCTTATTGTTTCAGAGGAAACACGAACACAGCGTACAGTCGAGTCTTAACAGCTTACTTACAGCTGGGCTCATCAGGCTCTCTGTTTGGCTGCAGTGGTTGTTATTATATTTACATGCTTCCAGCTCCCGTTTCTGCTCTGTGACAAGTTGTACTTTTCCTTTTTCTCCCTCCCTCGCACTCACCAAAAATATTACCAAATATAGAGAGGACAGAGCCTTATGACACAGGAAAATACCGCCGTGTAATCCATTTATTTCAACAAAGTAACTGTATTCTAAATACCACCTTTTTAAACGGTAACTGTAACGGAATACAGTTACTCATATTTTGTAGTACACCATTAAGCAGTCAATGCTTTTTATTTCTTAGGTAATGACATTAGCAGAATCATGTTTTGTCAGCAGTGTCAAGCATACAAGCAGCTGATTTCATTAGAGCTGTATGAGAATATATTTGACGCTGCTTCAGGAGGAACAAACCTATGATGTAAACTTAGCAACAAAAGACAATAAAAACTGAAAAATCAAACACAACAAAGATTAAATCAGACTACATTAAATAATCTCATTAACATGTAATTAAAACCACCTTCAGGTTTAAAAGGATAAAACATTAAATAGTATTTTTTCTCTGCACTGAGCTGCAGTTACAGCAGCTTCATCAGTGCTGTGAAAACAAAAAATCACCAGCATGAACGTAACACATGAAATATATTATCAGTGTTTCACCAGAGAGTTCACCGGTCAGAGGAACGTCCAACATGAAGCACGTGGTTTTCATGAGGTACCAGCTCAACAGGCTGTCGACCAATCACAGCACTCCTCAGGTAAGAACCATC